TCCATGAGGCAGGAAAAATCAAACCGGTTAAAATACCTGAATTTGCAGGTAATATTTTAGAGGCGCTTGCTGTTGATATGAATAACAATGTTTACGTGGTGAGAAGACGTTCAGGTCAAGTATTCATGTTGACGAAATTGGACGAGAATTACAATGTAAAAGCAAATCATACATTGGATTTTCTCGGTACGTATCTAGTTAAGATTGCGATATGCAAAGACGATGATATTATCATCATCCAATACGAAGATCCAAATGTGTATGTTTGTGACAAGACGTGTCAATTGAAATACAAGTTTAAACGCGACTCGGGTGAGGCATTTTCATTGAGTATTTCCCAGCAGAATGAAATCATGATACCAACACACGATAATACGTCGGTTCAAATATACACCAAGGAAGGAAATCTGAAGACAACAATAAAAGTCCCAGAAGATCATGAGGTATGCAGCGTCGCATTTCACTACGAAATTTGTAAAATATTGGTTTTAACTAGGGTTAGGAAAAAGGATTCCTTTTTCATTCTGTGCTACACTGAAGCAGGCGGGGAGCTGGAGACTCTTACCTCCTTTTGTAAAAATGAAAATCACTTCCCTCCCAAACTGGTATCCCATCCCAAGGGTCCTGTTGTTGTTGTAAGAGACAGAAGCATCACTTACCTTTAATGAGATTTAGTATGAACAAACATTTCCTGCATAAAACACAGTAAATACTTGTCTGAAATAGTGCAAGTTTGAGTAAACTATAGCAAACAATAGATGCAGCATAGTTTATATAATTTGTGAGACTTCGCTGAATTACGTCCCATTAAAGTGTTCCTGTTTCTGTTGTAAGAGAGACAAGTGTAACTTATATTTAAATAATTCAAATAATAATATTTTTTGACATTTGCCAACATGGACAACAAGCTTTTAATGACATTTAAAAGCGTATGAATCCTATTTCATATGATATAATATAGTGAAAACTTTCTTTGCTCTTGTAATAAATGATCAGGTTCTTAACATAATAAACTTATGAAACCACCCCTGGCTAAGCTTAGAGCTATGAATCGTATTATTAGTGGGTATATTGATGGCTTCTATCTGCAGGGTGATACATATGCTAAGTGTGCTACAAATGCTATTGACACAGTTGAAACATTTGACTGCCTAGATCTAGTTATCCATCCTGATAAGTCCACACCTTCCCCTTCTCAAGAGGTAATTATCCTAGGATTTGTCATTAACTTGATAACAATGACTATCCAGGTTACAAATAAGAAAAAAGGAAAAAAAATTGTTTGATATTATTGAATGTCCAGTGTTTCAAGTTTATTCTCTTTGTAACATATACGTATATTTATATTTTTATTCCCTAAACTCAGTCCAACAAATTACAACCTTTTCACTTCAAGTCTCTGTCCTTCACGCCCACTTATCAATCACAACCCTCCTAACAACTTATTAAATATTAACTCCTTTGTAAAAATATCAACCTTATTACATAATGCTACATCCAGCAGACATTCCTATCCAGCAGGTAGCCAAGATTATTGGTTGCCTAGTCTCCTCCTTACCTCGGGTTCAGTATGGGGCTCTTCATGATAGGTACCTTGAAATGGATAAAAAAGATGCTCCTAAAAGAGCTAAGGGTAATTTTGATTCCACTATGACTGTCTCTGAGGATGGCTTGATAGAGTTACGATGGTGGGTCATCCATCTTGAAGAGAGTTTAGATTTCTTTTCATTCCTCCTATTGATATAACTATATACTCTGATGCACTCCTAGAAAGATGGGGAGCTATACTAGGTGATACATCTTCAGGAGGAAGATCGTCGCCAGATGAATGCACCCATCACATAAACTACATTGAACTTTTGGCTGCATTTTTTGCCCTTAAACTGTTCTGCACCACTCTTAAGTGGTGTAAGCATGTAAAACTCATGATAGATAACACCACAGCAGTAGCTGTAATAAATAACATGGATTCTTGCCATAGCCGTATTTGCCGCTCTATGGGCTGAGAAATCTGGGAATTTTGTATAAAATACAACACTTGGCTTACTGCTGCTCACATTCCTGGTTCGCAGAATGTCTTAACACGCAAAGAATCTCGTCATTTTCATAATCCAGATAGCGAATGGAAACCAAACCATTGTCATTACATAATACGCTCAGTACCTTGAATTTTCACACTTAGATCGATCTTATTGCATCACACTTAAATATAAAACAGTTCCCAACATATCGCTCTTATCCGCCAGATCCTGAAGCAGTGTTCGTTGATGCTTTCTCTATTTCGTGGATTGATTTGAAATCTTATTGTTTCCCCCCGTTTAGTTTTCTGTTACAGGCTGTAAAGAAAATAATTCAGGAGCATGCCAAGGGAATTTTAGTTATTCCCGACTGTCCCACCCAGCCTTGGTATCCTTTGCTAGCCTCTCTTCATGTTCCACCTCCTGTGGTCCTACAACCCAGTCACAAACTACTGAACCTCGGTCGGAAATCATCGGAAACAACTCATCCCCTTTTCAAGAAGCGCAAACTTTTGGTTTGTCAAGTTTGCGGCAACAACTACAACAACCTGGCTGCTCGTTAACACCATTAACATAATTGAATCCTCTTGGGGAGACAGCACTAAATCTCAGTACCAAGTGCATCTGCAGAAATGGTTAAAATTTTGTACGAAGAGGCACTGTGATATCATCTCCCCTCCCTCCCTTACCACGGACGTTAGATTTTCTGTCATCGCTGTTTGACTCGGGTTTGTCTTATCGCTCAATCAACTCGGTGAAGTTTGCTTTATCTTCTATTTTGCAGTTAAGTGATAGTGAAGTCACTTTCGGACAGCTACCTATTGTTTAGCACTTTATGAAAGGTGTATTCGAATTGCGCCCGGCTCTACCGCGTTACCAGACAACATGGGATGTTAGCAAGGTCTTATAGTTTTTTCGAAAGCAGCCTATACCTTCCGCGCTGACTTTGAAGGAGCTTACTGTTAAAGTTTCCTTCTTATTGACCTTACTCAGTGGACAACGCTGTCAAACTATTCATCTTCACACTGTCGATAACATGATTCTCGTTGCGGACAAGTGCACTTTCCACGTCATGGAGAAAGTCAAACAGACACGTGTCGGAACTCATGTCAAACCCCTCGAGTTTTTGAAATATCCATTTGAGCCTCAGCTTTGCGTCGTTACTCATCTCTTAGAGTATATCAAGAGAACTGACGAAAATAGCCATGATAGAAAGCAATTGCTACTGAGTTATGTGAAACCGTATGGACCTTTTTCCAAAGATACTGTATATATCTCGATGGATAAAGTCTGTTTTGGTAGCTGTAGGTTTAGATGTTAGCAAATTTAAAGGTCATAGTGTTCGAGCAGCAACTACATCCTTTTTAGCGTCCAATAACTGTAACATTAAGGATATTATGTTATCCGCAGGATGGTCGAATGGACAGACATTTCAACGGTTTTATAATAAACCGAGCGAGGAGGAATTTAATTTTGGCGCTTCGGTGTTAGAGTGCTATACAAACGTGAATTGTTCCTAGGATATATAATATACTATATATATAATATACTTCTCTGTATATCGAGATATCTTTCCAATTGGTTTTATCACGCTGGCTATAGTTAGAGTGGTTTGTGTATCTCTGCAGGACAAAGACCTCACTGATTGCTCTGAAATCTCGTACAACGTCACATGACTTAGGCTGATGACGAAATAGAATTGAAAATTAAACGAGACTTACCTGGAAGTTGAAGTTTCATTTGGCTGGGAGTGTGAGAGTTGTACGCCCCCCCTGTTCTCTCCCGTTCCCTTACTTGCAGTCCACTCTCACACTCATCACGTCCGTGCGGTGTTTGTCCGGTAAAGCTCTAAAGACTGATTGGCGCATGCGCTCTACTCTCTCTCGTACAACTCTCACACTCCAGGCTGATGACTCATACAATCCAAATCAAATTTCAACTTTCAGGTAAGTCTCGTTTAATTTTCAATTTTATCTCATGTGAAATAAGATTTAAATTCAATGCCAATGATTCTCGATATGAATCAAATAAACAATGATTTTTGTTTCCAATAACAAAGATATGTGCGGCATCTCTTTCAAGTGAACTTTCCTGAAAAAACACGACTGTTTGAAAATTCAGCAGCAAGTATCCATAAGTGGCGGGTTCATAGTTTATTGAGCGTGGCATTTCAATACATTATTTACAAACACCTCTCTGAAGCAACGTTTACAAGTCCAATTACCATCCTATTTTTCGTGCGATTTTCGTTTTTTGATTGATGTGAACGAGGGAATAGTTATGATGTAATGATGTATAGATGTTCTTATCTGAACTACCATAACTAAATCTACTCGTTAACATCTATCAAAAGAAGAAGATGCCAGCAACAATTGCAAATGTAAACGTCTTAATACATGCACCTCTTCAATACAGACATCTCTCTGATATGAACATGTTTTCAACTGCACAATTCGTCAAGTCAGGAATGGTTAAGATTCATCCTCTGCTAATGATGTGAATTATTGCAAGTGCGTGTGAAAAGATAAACAATTGTGATATCAACAGCTCGTGTAACTCAGGTATATTTACTGCATTTGTTTATTCATTCATTCGTTTGTTCATTTGAGCCGAGCTCAAACTCTTGGCTGAGTTAACAACCTCAAGAGACAGTCGAAACTCTCTGCAGAGAAAAACTTCACAAACTACACACACTTAAATTTTGTTAAATTACATCTGATGCCTGTCTTTCGACATGCTGGATTTTGATTTTGAAGAGCAAATGTTGTATTGTAATTATTTTATCCATGTTCTGGTATAACACGAGTTTACTCGCAAGGTTTTGATAAGTAATTATTCTGGTGAGAGCTAACTCAACTGATGATGTACAACTCTTTCATTATCCATCGATGCACAAGATTATCATCTTCAATTATACGTAACGATCCATCGTTATCCATGAAAATTTACCAGATCTGGTCACACTGACTTCAATATTTACAGGTACCACAGTTTCTTCCCTCAACGACGACCAACGCAAATCCGTAACACTGGAAGCAATCAAGACCACACAACTTGCACTGGTAAGAAATAGGAGTGATTCATCATCACCATTTCTCATCATCACCACCGTGCAATAACTCGGGGTATCCTTACCCCATCTATCTATATCGTTGTCCATCATTGTCCATCGGCATCCAAAATCGTCTATTGTTATCCACCAAGTAAATAATCATCGTCGTTAACCTTAATTATACAATATACGATATAAATAATTCATTTTTTCCCAAGAAGCAAACGTCTTGCAATTGCGTGGTAATAAGCTTTGACAAATCTTATTGTAATGCGAGTTGCAGGCGGAAGAGAAGGAGTCGGGCAGGTGCGGGTTATCAGCGTGTTGCGCAAACTTTCCTGTTAAACTTCAATTGTGCTTTAGTTACCGTGAATGAAACCTATTTCTATCAGTCTTTCTCATTAAATCTAAATTACATTTAAACTACTAGATCATATTCTGCTATTATTCATTCACGGACATGCGCAACAAGCTCTCCTAGAACATTTATATAAGCTTTTCCTTTCTTGATTTATCGCCCAAGTTTGATTTTAGAAATAATTGCAGTGATTTCTATCCTATTTCTTTAATCTTTAGTTTTGTTTGGCAGTTCAGCGATAAATAAAGACTATCGTACAGCGTTAAGGCGCATATAACCGATCATACTTTCTGCGCTCCCACGTGCATTTTAAGAGTTTAAGTTGGTCTACGTGAGGTTAAACAAAGAAATTTCAGAGAGAAAAAACGCGTACTGGCGAGAGAAGCGATTTCGGTTTGTTAGTCCGAATTTCTTGCAAGATTTTTTCACAAATATTGTTGTTGGTTTTTCATGACTAATTTATGAATTTGGTAATGTAAGGTCAAGTATCTATATATTGTTAACTTTTATATGCCTAATTTATCTATTTTTTTAAATACCTGTAGCCCTAACTTAGTTCTGTTGAAATTGTGTTTTGTTCAACTACGAACACGCAATGATTTCATCTCGCTCGTGTCTATAACTTTTCCTATAAAACTTGGCTCGTGCAGTGACATAAGACTAAAGTGAAATACAGCTGGGATATTTATATACGAGATCGCTCCCAGATATATTGTAGACGATGTAAACAAGGTAATTCTATACTGTATGTAAACTTGAACAACCTTCATATCTCGCCTGTTTCTCATGTGATGAAGTTCCCGGAAGAACGTAGATAAAAACATCGTTAGGAATCATATGATTGAATGTGTTTGAGCATATTCACCAGTGTTTGGTCAAAATTTAACCTTAATTTTTGGCTTCAGTAAAAAAACTCAGTATGTCTTCAATTGTGACAAGTATTCTCAGTTCAACAATTGGTTTATTATGGAATAAGGTCAGAGACTCGACGGCAGACAAATTCAAAGACGGCGATGTAACCGATGCAGAAATTCGTAAGATTGTCGTACGAGAGTTAAATGATATCAAGTCTAAAATCGATGGCCTTTCCCGATCAACTTTACTCGCTAGTTATAATTTTCTAGAAGAAGGAGTTGATTTACTCAGTGCTTCTCTTGATAAATCAAATCCCGAGCAGAAAGCGAGCGAAACTCAGGACGAACCAGGTGAACCTTCGAGCGTTATTCAGTCTGGTATCTTAAACCAAGCAATCGCGCCATGGAAAAGCTTAAAATCAACTCGGACAGAGAGTTTGAAACTGCGAGAAAAAGATTCGAGGAAGCGCGCAAGACAGCAACCACTGCTTTCTGTAATGAGGCATTTAGTATTGATGATCGAATTTTTGCCGCGAAGCTACGAATAGTTTCAGAAATACTGGAACATCTCGATAGTCCTGAGACCGCAATCACTGGGTGTTTGTCGTTTTTGAAGAAACTTCATTGCTTACCAGCCATTCAAGAGATATTCTTGGTGTATTTGAACGGTGGAGTCAAATCGTTGTTGAATAAAACTCAACGAGTGGAGAACGTCAAGTCAGTTATGTTAATCAACTATGTGTTGTTTCAATATGTTTGGAAATTCGGCAGCAAGTATTCGTTTGAAGTGCCCGCCTGCATGCCAAGGATTGAACTTCCTGATCGTAGTTTTCACCCAATAAGAAATTGGAAGGAAATTTCAACAAGAAAGTCTATGGGAGAAGAATTGCTTTATCCTAACTACGAACAGTTCCTTGATGAAAAAATAATGCCCAACTTATCTGCTGTGAACAGTAAGGGGGATGTTCTTACTGTCCCTGATACTGGGTCTCGTGACAACATCATGATTATCCATGAGACAGGAAAAATCAAACGGGTTGAAACACCTGAATTTGCAGGTTATATTTTAAAGGCGCTTGCTGTTGATATGAATAACAATGTTTACGTGGTGAGAAGACGTTCACGTGAAGGATTCATGTTGACGATATTGGACGAGAATTACAATGTAAAAGCAAATCATACATTGAATTTTCTCGTGGATGAAAGTGTCTTTGATATTAAGATCGCGATATGCAAAGACGATGATATTATCATCATCCAACACGAAGCCGGTTTCAATAACCCTCATGTGTATGTTTGTGACAAGACGTGTCAATTGAAATACAAGTTTAAACGCGACTCGAGTTTGGCATTTTCATTGAGTATTTCCCAGCAGAATGAAATCATGATACCAACAGACGATGATAAGGCGGTTCAAATATACACCAAGGAAAGAAATCTGAAGACAACAATAAAAGTCCCAGAAGATCATTAGGTATGCAGCGTCGCATTTCACTACGAAATTTGTAAAATATTGGTCTTTACCAGAGTTGATGAGAAAGATTCCTATTTCATTCTGTGCTACCCTGAAGCAGGCGGGGAGCTGGAGACTCTTACCTTCTGTTATAAAGATGAAAATTTGTTCTTTGGAGTCACTCCCAAACTGGTATCCCATCCCAAGGGTCCTGTTGTTGTTGTAAGAGAGAGAAGCATTATTTACCCTTAATGAGAATTAGTATGAACAAACATTTCCTGCATAAAACACAGTAAATACTTGTCTGAAATAGTGCAACTTTGAGTTAACTAAAGCAAACAATAGATGCAGCATGGTTTATATAATTTGTGAGACTTTGCTGAATTACATCCCATTAAAGTGTTCCTGTTTCTGTTGTAAGAGAGACAAGTGTATCTTATTTTAAATAATTTAAATAATGTTTTTTGACATTTGCCAACGTGGACTATTAATAAGCTTTTAGTGACATTTGAAAGAGTATGAATCCTATTTCCTATGATATAATATAGTGAAAACTTTCTTTGGTCTTGTAATAAATGATCAGGTTCTTAACATAATAAAGATAATCATGTTTCTCTCTTAGATATTCAGGCTACTGACAAGTTTGTAAATACAGTTTCCCAGGGAAACCCTTCCAGTCGATTTCAAGGCCCGCAAGCCTACCAAGCTACAGGGCGGACTGAGCCTTTTTTAGGCCCTCCCTCTTTTTAACTCCCTCTAACACGGAGTTAGGCCCTCCCTTACTACGGACGTTAGATTTTCTGTCATCGCTGTTTGACTCGGGTTTGTCTTATCGCTCAATCAACTCGGCAAGGTGTGCTTTATCTTTTATTTTGCAGTTAAGTGATAGTGAAGTCACTTTCGGACAGCTACCTATTGTTTAGCACTTTTTGAAAGGTGTATTCGAACTGCGCCCAGCTCTACCGCGTTACCAGACAACATGGGATGTTAGCAAGGTCTTATCAGTAGTTTTTTCGAAAGCAGCCTATACCTTCCGCGCTGACTTTGGAGGAGCTTACAGTTAAAGTTTCCTTCTTATTGGCCTTACTCAGTCGACAACTCTGTCAAACTATTCATCTTCCCACTGTCGATAACATGATTCTCGTTGCGGACAAGTGCACTTTCCACGTCATGGAGAAAGTCAAACAGACACGTGTCGGAACTCATGTCAAACCCCTCGAGTTTTTAAATATCCATTTGAGCCTCAGCTTTGCGTCGTTACTCATCTCTTAGAGTATATCAAGAGAACTGATGAAATTAGCCATGATACAAAGCAATTTCTACTGAGTTATGTGAAACCGTATGGACATGTTTCCAAAGATACTATATCTCGATGGATAAAGTCTGTTTTGGTAGCTGTAGGTTTAGATGTTAGCAAATTTAAAGGTCATAGTGTTCGAGCAGCAACTACATCTTTTTTAGCGTCGAATAACTGTAATATTAAGGATATTATGTTATCCGCAGGATGGTCGAATGAACAGATATTTCAACGGTTTTATAATAAACCAAGCGAGGAGGAATTTAATTTTGGCGCTTCGGTGTTAGAGTGCTATACAAACGTTAATTGTTCCTAGGATATATAATATACTATATATATAATATACTTCTCTATATATCGAGATGTCTTTCCACTTGGTTTTATCACGCTGGCTATAGTTAGAGTGGTTTGTGTATCTCTGCAAGATTAAAATTAAGTGTTGCTGCAAGATTAAAATTTGTTACTAACAGCTTGTTGCTCCATGTTATTTGATCAATAACAACTTTTTAGGAGCAGTTCAACTTTCTTAAATGAATATCACGTCTTTTCAAATAGTCAATGGCGCTGGGTTTAGCGAGTGGTCCAGTTTTTCACCTTGCAGCAAAGATTGTGTTAAGAAAAGGCAAAGATATTGTTTCTCTTCAAACCACGCGGACTGTCCTGGAGCATCGTCGCATGGCGTGGAATCTCAATGGCAGAATTGCACGAACGAGGAATGTTACGGTAGGTCCTTTGCTTCGAGCACTTAAATTTATCGGATATGAGTGACATACGTAGATCAGTGGCTGAGATCGTTGTCTTTCCCTGTCGTGACTCGTGTAAGTCGTGTTGCGTGGCGATGTCTTGATCCTACACTGTGTTGACCAGTGTTGGCATGTGCTGTGATGCTGAGTCATTCCGCCACATTTGGGGCAAAACAAATCTTTTACGGGAGTACAAAAATTGATTTCCAATGATAGGGGGGACCTTCATCTTGTAAAAATACGATCGCCAGCGCCGGCCCCCCCCCAGGGCCTCTACGCTTATGGGAGAACCAGTGACACATACT